CTTCCCCAGGGGCCCGTCTCCCCCGGCCTCTCATGCCCCGGCAGCAGGGGGAGCTGGGCCTGGCTCTGATCCGGGACAGGGCCCAGCACCGGCTGCTCGGGAGGAAGTGCTGTGATGAGGATGTGACCTGGTTCCTGGGGTGATGCCTGGCACGATGGGCACCCAGTGGCGGTCCCCAGGCACGACATGATACCAACAACTAATAATAAATCCGCCTTCCCTATTGCCCGGGTCGGGGGGTCCCCTCTGCGCCCCGCTGGCTGTGGGTGGGACCCCGGGGCCGGACGCGGTGACGGGATTGTGTCTCTGGGTCTTTGCAGCAGCTGCCCAGGATCCCCGGTACCAGATAACCCAGCCCGTGTCCCTGTCGGCGCCGGCCGGGGGCTCCATCACCCTGCCCTGCGCCTTCACCTACCCCCGCGAGATCGAGCCGCTGCGGGATCTCCGGGTTTACTGGAGACGGGGGGGATTCTACGGCGAGTTTATCTACAATCACACCGAGGGGTTCACCCACCCGGATTACGGGAGCCGCATCGTCCTCGTCGGGGACCCGCGGGGGAGCCGAACGGCCTCGATCCGCATCGACCGGCTGCGGGAGTCGGACGCCGTCGTGTACGTCTGCCAAGTCAGGGTGCAGAAGCAGGACGACAAATGGGAGCAGTGGCGCAATGTCTCTGGGACCAACCTCACGGTCACAGGTGCCCCCCCATGCCCTGGCTTCCCCCATGTCACCTGCTCCTACCCCCAGCTTCGCACCCTCCTGTGCCCTGGCGAATCCCTCACCCACCCCCAGCCCTGAGACCCTCTGTGCGTTCCCGGCTCCCTGAGCGCTGCACCCCGAATCCACGGCACCCCATGGCTGGAGCTCAGGGGCACCTTTTCATGGAGTGTGGGGGAGTTGGGGTCCTGCACCCCCGACTTCCTGCAATTCACTGTGACTCTCAGCCAGCCAGTAAAACAGAAGGTTTATTAGACGTCAGGAACATAGTCCAAAGCAGAGCTTGTAGGTACAGGAAACAGGAGCCCTCAGTCAGGCCCATCTTGGGGCCAGGGCGGCCAGACCCCGGGTCTGGGCCTCCCTCTCTTTCCCCAGCCAGCTCCAAACTGAAACTCTCCAGCCCCTCCTCTGGCCTGTGTTTTTTTCCTGGGCCAGGAGGCCACCTGATCTCTTTGTTCTCCAACACCTTCAGTTGGCACTTGCAGGGGAGGGGCCCAGGCCATCAGTTACCAAGAGACAGGGTGTCGGCCATTCTCTGTGCAGATAGCATCACACTGGCCCTCTCGGGCTCTGCAACAATCACACACCCTGATCCCCCCACCTAGATACTTACGAAATGCATAGGGGAAACTGAGGCACCCACATAGTATTCAGAGAAAACATTAAGAACATTCCCACCCACCCCCCTCCGTCCCACTGAGATCCTTTCCCATCCCTGGCTGTGTCCTCGCCTTGTCCACTTGGACGTCCCCTTTTCTGGGTCGGTCCCTGGCCCCGTCCCGCAGCAGCGGGGCATGTCGGTGAGTGAATGCGTGCGCCAGCACGAGTGTCTGGGGGCTGTGTTAGCGTGTCTGCATGTGTGTGCAATTGTGTATCAGAGCTTGAGTGTGTGTCAGTGAGTGTGCAAGGAGGCGCATGCATGAACATGTTTGTGTAAATGAGTGTCAGAGCTGCAGCATTGGTGAGTGTGCAAAGATGCGTGTGCATGAACATGTGTGTGTGCAAACATGCATGTTCCAAAATGAGCGTGTGCCTGACTGCACAGGGCTGCAGGGGTGAGCGTGGCTGAGGGTGTCTTGGCGTGGGAAGCACAAGTGTGTGTGCGAGATTGTGCGTCCGTGGTGCAGTGTCTCCGAGGGGGGCCCCGGTGTGCACAGACATGTTGCGCATGCTTGTACACCTGGGGTGTGCCCTGAACATACGAGAGCCAGAGCGTGTGTGTGTGAGCGTGTCCCCCTTGCTGTGCACACACGTGGGCGAGGGGCCACGCCTTGACCTAATGCCCCCCTTGATCTCTCTCTCCCAAACGAAGCCTTGACAATCCACGTCCCCCAGGCGACGATCTCAGCCATGACGCAGCAGCCAGCCAGGCCGGGGGCAGCCCCGGTGATTGGGGGGGTGCTGGCGGGGGCCGTCCTGCTGGCCGGGATCATCGGGCTGGCTGTGTACGGAGCCCGGAAGAGAACAGGTACCGGCACCCCTGGGGGAGTGGCTGGGGGGGGACACGCACCACCAGGGCATCCAGCCCCTCATCGGTCCGCCCCAAGGGAGCTGCTGGGTACCCGCGCAAGGCATTGTGGGAAATTCCTCGGGCGCCGCAGGGATGGGAGTGATGGGAAGAGCCAAACCCTGCACCAAGCGTGTCCGGCATGTGTGTGTGTATCCTGCTGGGCGTGTGACACGGGCAGTAAGGTGTGATCCTAACCAGAATGCACTGCTCCCGCTGCGGCATCATGGGATACAAAGAGTGACTCTCTGTCCATCCATCCTCACCTACCCCGCATCCACCCCTCACCTATCTATCTATCTATCTATCTCTCTATCTCTCTATCTATCCCATCCACCCCCTCTATCTATCTATCTATCTATCTATCTATCTATCTATCTATCTATCTATCTATCTATCTATCTATATCCATCCACCCCCTCTATCTATCTATCCCCATCCACCCCCTCTATCTATCTATCTATCTATCTATCTATCTATCACCACCCACCCCCCTCTATCTATCTATCTATCTATCTATCTATCTATCCCCACACCCCCTCTATCTATCTATCTATCTATCTATCTATCTATCTATCTATCTATCTATCTATCCTCACACCCCCTCTCTATCTATCTATCTATCTATCTATCTATCTATCCCCATCCACCCCCTGTATCTATCTATCTATCCCCAGACACCCCCCCATCTCCCTGAGCCCCCCACGCTCTGCCCCCCGGCATTGCCCCCCTGTGGGGTGTACCTGGGGGCTATTAACTCCTCTCCCTTCCTTTCAGGCCGTCGGCAGAAGGACCCCTCGGCCCGGTGAGTCGCCCTTTTCTGCTCCCCGCTGCCCCCATAACCCAAGGGGCCTGATCCCGCACCCAAGGGGGCTGCGGAGGGGCTGGATTCAGAGCCAGGGGACCCCATACTTAGGGGTCTCTGGACAGCTGGAACCTCCAGCCCCTGGCCTGGGGCCCCAGATAAAAATAGAGGGTGCAGGGGGGCTCTTGCAAGGGGCCCATATTCCCTCTTGGGGGGCTGAATTAGCCCCTCTGAGCCCTGCGCCCCCTGCTTTACAACCCCCCATTGCCTGTGCCCCACATGAGGCAGCAGCCTCCAGCCCCCCAGCAGGCGATTGCCCCAGTCCTCAGCAGCTGCGCCCATCCCCCTGGCATCAGGCCTGCGGCCTAGCGGCACCAGCCCCAGCGGCTCCCCACTCGTCCCCCCAGCTGCCAGCCGGTGCCGGGGGGGGGGGAGGGGGGCTGGGGCCCACCCGGCCCTGGGACCCCCACCAGTGACTGTCCGTGGGTCTGTCTAGCAGGAGGGAGCGCGGCCAGTCGCAGGCCGAGGGCGGAGGCGACTACATGGAGATCGGGGCTGGAGGTGAGAGCCTGTGGGGCGGCCCTGAAGAGCACTCGTCCCCTCCTCCCGTCCCTCCCCCCCTTCATCCGCCCCGTCCCCTCTGCTCCTCCCCCCCTCTATCTGCCCCGTCCCCTCTGCTCATCCCCCTCCATCCACCCCGTCCCCTCCTCCCGTCCCTCCCTCCTCCATCCGCCCCGTCCCCTCTGCTCATCCCCCTCCATCCACCCCGTCCCCTCCTCCCGTCCCTCCCTCCTCCATCCGCCCCGTCCCCTCTGCTCGTCCCCCCCCTCTATCTGCCCCGTCCCCTCTGCTCATCCCCCTCCATCCACCCCGTCCCCTCCTCCCGTCC